GTAAGCATTCGCGCAGGGCAGTGAAAGCTAGTTTGCCAGACAGTAACCTATTGGTTTTACGACTAAGCTTTACTATCATTTATAAATTATTATTTTTACGGATCTGCGTGCACTGGTAGTCGACTAGGATGGCGGCAAACAGAGCCTGAATAAAAAAAAACTAAAACAGTCGCACCAGAAATTGTGAGGGTTGCTACGACCTTTTTAGTTTTTAGTTTTTAGTTATAGCTGCATAGATTTTACGAATTAGAAGGTTCTCTACTACTTACTCGTTTGCTAGTTCATGAGATACGATATAGATAGATAAGAATATATGGATATCATACCCTTGCTAAAATTTATTGTGTATAGGGGTATATACATTGTACACAGCATTTTAATTCCTGTTTTCACCTGTTGATCCACTCCCTTCTGGTGGACCTGCCATAACGAGTCTGAAACAAAACTTAATAAGTAGCAGATACGTAACACACACTATTGAAGTCAAATTACTTGTTCCCTTTCATAAATTAGTGCCCCTGAATTAGTCATTAGGGTCACCACTATCACTTTATTGACGGGACTGCCCGGCCAATTTGTCATTTGTATTTATTTTTGGGTTGTTGCACGTTCCGGTTGTCAATTGAATATAGGCGAACTTTTGGGAATTAAAGTGTTTCATTTTGATTTCTAACACTTAACTGAAGCAAAAGGCTGAAATTAGTTTCTGGTTATAACAGCCCAGAATATATATTTTATTTTTAACCAATATTGTAATTTAAAATTCAGGGTATCGCTCATCACTAGTCATCAGTCATTTCTAATTTCTAGTCTATACTCGATGATACCTACTTATAGGAGACCGAGACCGCATAATAACAGTAAACAAACAGTAAGCAATAAATTCGAAGGTCGGAGCCTGGATCAGCGACATAAAGTCACGAACAGGATTATTATTATTATTATTATTATTTCACACAAGCAGTATTAAATTAACGGATACTAACGGCAATTAATCGAGCCGATACTTGGTATCGGTACTGCATACTCAGTATGGGATACTTACACATAAAGTATCGGTATCTATTCGATACTTGCAAAAGTATTGATTACCCACCACTAATAGTAATGAAGTTTGCGGGCAGGCGTCAAGTCGGCTGTCACTGTTAAAGGTGAGAATGATAGGATGTCAACTGGTGTGGAAATGTCAGGCGCGAGACGCGCGCAACAAGTAAAAAAAAGAAAAGGGATCGCATTGGGTACCGAACGGAGCGTCTGTTACGCAATTGCGGATATGGTACCGGAAAATAGCTGAAAGACAAATATTTACAATTCCAATTGATATGGGCGCATCACTAGTATTGTGGGATTATTGTGATTGGGAGATTTCCCTCTACATTAAAGGCTACCCTACACCCTAGGTAGGTTGCTTACCTTTTTTTTTTGATGCCTTTAGCTGATGCTAGAAGCACTCATGTAGTGCCTGATTAATTGCTTTGAAGTGCATGTAGCTTATGCTTGACTTTTGTCCACAGGCCTTTTTTTTCGTTTCCTTTATTCTCTGTTTCTTCTTCGCTTCAACGTCTTTTACTTCCTGCTGAATGCCTACATTTTACCATCTGAGGGCTGGTTGACACCACCAGGTGACCTCCAGGTCAGATTAGACTGTAAGGTTTATGTAAGGCTTCAGGCCTCTGGGACAGCTGAAATATAGAGTACCCGATTTGTTGCTGTAACATTATCCATTAGATTAAGATCACTTGTATATGTTTCGCCTTTCAGTGCGCATACTTACCATAGACATATCTCCCCCCGCCCCCCTTCTTTCGTAACACATCACCTTGTCCAGCAAATTGTGTAAAATGAGACATAGCATATCTGATTTTTTTTTTATATTACAACTACCACGAAGGCCTAAGGCCTAAGCACCCATTGGGTACCGTGGGGCTATAGGGGGATACATGGGAAAGGGGGGACGCCACACGGACTCTGGCGAGGGAACACGTGTGCATGCAACATGCACACATTCTGGCTCCGCCTACGAGAACCGCCGGGTGGTACCTCCGCGTTCGACAGTGAGAGACCATCTACCACCTACGGACAATCACAACATCCATAGCCAAGAGAAAAATTTCTCCTGGGACGGGACTCGAACCCGCACAGCGCACGGCGACTGATCAGGAGACCGAAGAGTCTACTACTGCGGCCACCGCTGCTGCCTGAATGTAAGTGTTACGACTTAGTGTAGTCCTAGGAAGCAACACATAAGGTAGCCGACCTCTCTTTTCGTGAGATCCTTGTACATATCATAAGGCGTTGTCTTTTCAGGCAATATATGTTATAACGTTTCAATCTGAACTTGGTAATTTCTTTCATTGTTTACAATTTCGACAGACGATTCGACAGGTTGACAATTTGTCCCGTGGAACCACGGAACTTCATACAGAACTGGACTCCCTGATACGGTGATTGTAGAGTAGTAGTAGTACGTTTTACAGCACATCCTACGCATTCCTAAACTAGTTGGCGGCTGATCAACGATCACTCCGTCGTCTCGACCACCCTCACCCGTAGCAATTGGCGCCAAGCGTATCACTGGCGGCCAAAAAATAACAATGTTCTTGAACATAGATAATTGGAAAAAGTTTGCAATTGTATATAACTGGTAGTCTTAAAGTATCTACGTCTATATCATCTATGCTTTATGCACCTCATAGTGATGTCAGCTGTGTGTGTTCCACGTAATCTGCAATCGCTATTTTTATGATTATTATGCTACATACGCTTAAGTAAACCTATTGTGTTAATCAACTCGACTAATTAATAGGATTTTCGATCAGTATCTGGCAACGTTGGTCCGAAATGCCACTACTAAATTAAAGAAAATTATCCCAGCTACTGTACCTCATGACCAGAGTACGGGGCGCGGCTTTGAGAGTGAAACCACAAGGACATTCAACACCACATTCATCTAGTCGTGATATCGTGAATGATACCTTGTAGGAGCTTGTACGTGTGGCAGTTGAAATATTTATGCCATTTATTGCGTGACGCTATGAGCGCCGTCTGATGGCTGTTAGTAGTAATAGGTGCTGTCGCTGTCTGACCTGACATATGTCATAGATATGCATTCCGAGCAGACCGTGGGTCTTTAGCTGGCTTTTACATACAAATGAGAGAGCTCTTGCAGATGGAGCGCAAACCTTACCTTACCAGATTAGTACATAACTAAAATTGTGAGTAGAACATATCTATTAATAGAGGTGCATTTAATTATTGCAGCGGTATGCGCGGTTTGTGTTTGAACATTAGCGATAGAGTAATTCACAAATTCCCTTACCAGAGAGGTATAACGTCTGTTTGATCTTGTATATGCGTAAGCTACAAGTTTTTTCATAAACTCACTGAGATAAGAAATATTGAGATCTGGATATAGCGTGTGACTCGAAACACACCATGGAGCTTTCGCGACGGAGTTAGCAGCTCTCTGTTGGACTATCTGTACATCTTAGCCACAAAGCACTAAGACGCACATGCATACGCCTAATAATGGATTTTTTTTTATACTCCAACTACCACGAAGGCCTAAGGCCTAAGCACCCATTGGGTACCGTGGGGCTATGGGGGATACATGGGAAAGGGGGGACGCCACACGGACTCTGGCGAGGGAACACGTGAGCATGCAACATGCACACATTCTGGCTCCGCCTACGAGAACCGCCGGGTGGTACCTCCGCGTTCGACAGTCAGAGACCATCTACCACCTACGGACAATCACAACATCCATGGCCAAGAGAAACATTTCTCCTGGGACGGGACTCGAACCCGCACAGCGCACGGCGGCTGATCAGGAGACCGAAGAGTCTACTACTGCGGCCACCGCTGCTGCCTAAAACAAACACGCAACATCCATGGCGAAGGCGAGATTCGAACTCGCGGCCCGGCCGGCCGGCTGATCAGTAGCACGACACTCTGACCCACGCGGCCAACTGAGGCCCCAATTTGCACAAGAGTAATTTATTTGAGGGTAATGATCGACTATTTCCTCTGCCCTGTTTTGATCAGACATAAACATGGGTCTTCTAGGTTAATTTTATGTCGATTGTCAACTCCAAATACTTTACCTCCAGTTGGCATGGTACGTTTCGATCAAATACCTACTCTTAACTGTCTAGGTACAGAATGCCTACGTTTTGTTAGGGAAGCAGCTTGGGTTCTCCGTGGATTAACAATAATTTTCCATATACAAAAGTATTTTTCTAGCTGACACACCGCCTCCTGAGGCGGTCTGCTACCTCTTGGTCATATACTGGCTTAGCCACCAGAGCGATGTCATCAGCGTCAAGTCAGGATTAGGTATATGGTCGGAGCAAGGACGGAGCCTTGGGGAACTCCTGCCCTGATGCTCCTTAATGTTGACGATTACTATCAATTTTGATTCGAAACTTTCTGCCCTCCACAAAGGATTTTTGCCAAAAATGGCAATTTAGTTGAACAAGCTTGTAGATAGATCCTGATGCCATACTATGTCGAATGCCTTTGCGATATCTAGCAAAAAGACACCACTATCATGCGTCCGAGTGAATCCGCAGTGACCGCCTCAACCAGTCTAATTGCCTGCAGCTCACTAGAGAGTATTTTACTGAAGCCGAACTATTTCTGTGGAAGTATTTTTCACTCCACAAGAAAATTCTGGAATCGCTCAAGAATCACTCTCTCAGTGAGTTTACTAGCCATAGAAAATAAGACTATTCGGGCAGTATTCTTGGTTATTTGTCTCCATTCCTTTTTTTGGTATCATTATTACATGTGCAAGCCTCCAATCATTATGAAATTATTGAAAGCGAAGCATCACATTACGAGTAACAGTTGTCAGTATATAGATCCGAGATCGCTCAGATAGGCGTTAAGCAGCTTCAGCTGCAACCTGATCATTTCCCGGTGCCCTAACAGCTTGAAAACAGGTGTTTCATTATAAATTATTATGTTTAGAGGGTACTTGTTTTCGTTACAATACTGACCTGTTGTACATGTGATCCATCCGCCATGATCCACTCTACGTGCGGATGGGGGCTCCCCTGCCCTTGGCAATCCGCTTTGCCCCCAGATGCGTTGCTGAACTCCACACGGTACGCTGGTTCGTGGCTGAACGCGGGCCCCTGTACCTCCGCCCCTAATGCTATCGATGGTGTTCTTGAGAATGGTGATGGGTTCCATATGGCTAGAACAAAATTAGACGTTTTATTAAGTTAGACCTTAGACCTCGTGGAAAAAATAGTTATAAGTAACTGGGAGTTTAGCTCAGAAGAAGACGTGAAGCGTCAGTAAGGCATACGACTGGCTCAAACATCATTCTCGGCTTGTCCTTGTGTGCTGACGAGACTGAGGCTATCGTCTAAATGTGGACGTCCACAGCAAATCCATGTATGCGGTGGATGCTAGCTTTGGAAGAATTAAGTTTCGTCCCAAGGAATTAGAAGAGTTTAAATCACCTAAGAATATTGTCAACAATAGAAAAAGATGGCGTTAAGTTGATTGACCTCCCAGACCTTCAAAATGGTCCCTACTGCAATTTTCCATGTAGCAAATAGTGGCATCAAAAGACGTGGGTTTTGACCATTGGACTTTTTATGGAAAATTTTCTCAGCTTCCACCTATGAGCGTGTGTGTATATACTTTGAAGTTAAGTCATTAATTTTCAGATAATGATTGTAGAAGGAAGACCAAAATATGTGTGTAAAAATAAAAATAAAAAATAAAAAAAAATGTTACCTTGTTTTATGAAGTATCCTCCCGACAAGTATTTCAGTGCGGACCTGTATTTGATCGTGCGGTCTTGGAGCACCGGCATGCCCTCCCCTGTGAGGTCTTAAGCCTCCTGATTCACGAACCCTTTGTACTACATTAGCGAGGGGTTGGTTGGACTCGATTGGGAAACCGATCCGCATAAATCCGTGATGCCGTGGCAGCATTTTGTAAAGACTCCCGCCCCGTAAATAAGAATCATGTCCACAAGTTCCGCATTTTCGGAAATATGTGCAATTTTTTATTTCGTTTGAGCCACGCAATAAACACCACTATTCACTCACGCGTTACCGACTGACACATTGACTGAATACAACTGAATAAAATTGTAGTAAAAACATCGTGATAAGCGTTTCAAATTCTTTCGCTTTTTGTTTCCGATGCGATGAACCGATAAATCGGATTATATCCGTTGTTGCCAAACACGAGCACATAATATTATTATTGAGACAGGGCGGTACTCAAACTTCTAAAGGGCTATAACTTCGTTACTTTAATTTTACCACAAAAATGTTAAAAGAAAAAACATTTCTTTTAATCAGATCTACTCACTGTTAAAATAAATTACTCAACTTCGATGTCACCCTGTATATGGTAGCATAATTTCGTTGGAGATGTAAAACTATTTGTCACCAATCTTTGATAAATGATTATAATAGCTTTTGATCCGTACTTTGAATACTAAAAAAGCACTAACTGAATAGTCAAACTTCAAATAGGACAACGTTTCTCAGACCACAGCGATCTTGTTGCAGTTCTTGACAACTGACCGTGACTATAACCCCCAAAGTCAAGTAACCTCATTAAATTACACTTGATCCATAACGCTCATATATGTATATATTTAGGTAATATGCTCTCACTTGGTGAATGTTACAAGTCACAAGCATCAACCACCAACATTGACTAAAACACCGTGGTAAGCTAATATATTTTTTATTTATCTGGTCCGCTGCAAGGTAGGCTTATTGTTTATGGAACCTGACCTTAGAGCCAATATTCACAATAAATCTTAATTATATCTAATATGTGCCTCGTATTACCGATATTAGAAGCTTCTTAATAACGGATCGTCTTTCACTGATACCAAACGTTGCAAAATGTTCAACCACAAAATTACAATGTTCAACACTTTCAAATTATTTTCGAAGCCGTTCAGATGGATCAGAAACATCGAAAAATGAAGCTCGAGCGACTTTTATTTTTTTTGTTTTTTGCCTCTTTCTCTGCTGCCACTGATCCCCTGAAACCACAAAGCTTTTCAGTCATTAGATCTTGTGTGAAAATTTCATCAAAGTCTCAGCGGTAGTTTCCAAATTATAGACGGGACAAGGGTAAATGACAGATAGACAGACATACCGACAGATAGACAGACATACCGACAGATAGCCAGACAGATCGACGGAAGTGAGTGACATAGTTATGTTGTAGACGTCATAAATTATCAAAAAAACATGACACCTCATTTTATACATTTTTCGTGATTATAGTGGCCAGTGGCGTGGAAAGTGAAATGTACCTCATTGGGGGACCTGCATGGAATACCATAACAATAGAATGCCCAGACCCAGTTTCTGCCATTTATTCGAACCTGCAACCAATTCAACTTTGTAAAGTTTTCGAACTACATATAGGACTGCCTCCAGCATTATGGATACAGTGCTGAGTTCAATTTCAGTTTTGACGGTAATACTATGTTACGCTTGGAGCCGATTCAACGTATTGAACTCGTGTTTACCAGAAATAAAATTAAGTAATGTAACGACCGACTCGATTTCTATTATGAGCTATAAACATGCTGGTAACATGAAAGTTCGAAAGAGCTACAATATAAACACCGAATAAGTGAAGCCGCAAAGCAAGGCATGTGTCGATGCAAAGAAGTTAGGAATATGCATCAGGATACCAGTTTTTGATGGGAGTGCGAGGAAGGAAATAATCTATGATGTGCACTCTAACAAAGTTTTTCTCTCCATCATGAAATGGCTCAAGAAGTTTTGGTGAATGTCTTCTACCTAATTCATACACAGTCGAGCGATAACTATTACGGAACTAAAGGGGATGCTAGGTTGTCAAAGGTTTGGGGATAAATAGCAAGAGTTTCGACTCTTTTATTTCCTGGGTGATGTAGGCTCCCTAATTAACCAGTTTTTGATGGAAGAACGAGAAGACCTTATGGTTTGCATAGTGAAATGCCTCAAACATTTTCAAATATTGTCATCATATGACAGAGTGGTTTTGGTAAATAATATCTACCTAATACACTTAGCTGAAGGTGCATAGCCCTCATAGCTGAGTGCTAACTATTAAGGAACTGAAGTAAAAGCACCGTAATTGAAGTGGATGCTTCGTAATCAAAGACAAAGCTGGAGGATCAAATTTTTAGATATCGTACTACTTAGCCTTGCATAAAGAAAAGAAAAAACATGAATAACAAACCAACCATTAAACATAGTTAGATTGTGTACGGAACAATTACGTTTATTGGACAAATTTTCTCATTGGTAACCAACGCACGTCTGCATTTCGTTCACTTACCGAACCAACCGAGACGAAGTAACGACAAATAAGCCCCTCTCAGTCGGAGCCAATCCAATTTTCATCCGTAACGATTCATTTTCCGAGTGAAGCGCCTCTTATCGATCATCCATTGGTCCAAAGAAAGAATTGAAAATGAGGCTTCCAAGGTAATTTTCGAGAATCTCATTTATTTTTTTCTTAGAATAAAAGAAAAAGGATTCCCTTTATGTAACAACAGCGAGTTTATTTTATATTTCTTCGGGAGGATAATTAAAGAATATAACAAACAAACAGAACAAAGTTCTTGTTGCCCTTCAGAACAGAGTTCTAACCATAGGAGAACTTGGAACGCTCATAATTAAACATTTAGAATAAAAGTAAACATAAACACATGAAGTAAAAATATAACCAAAGTTAGAACTCAATGTCTTGCCCTGGAGATAGACAACTAAAATCAAAAATGTGAAGATGGTCTACTGAAAGCTCAGTATGTAGTGGGTAAAGAGACTTCTGGCACGCAGAGTGACAGTTCTATTCTAAGAACAGACAGACGTAGTTCACCTTCATTGAAAGAAGCTGGAGTACTAACAACCGTGAAATAACGCTTTTGTCACAGAGACTTAGGTCCGTATCGTCAGTCGTCCCTACAATTGTAGGGCGCCTTTATGGCCTCCTTGATTGTCATAGTTTTCTGCTTCTCCGTGTCAGAACTCTTATGTCACAAACATCTATTTGCATCAAATTGTGCTTGCTTTTGAGTTATATCATGTTTTATCAGCCTGAAATTTCCTACAATTTAAAAAGAAAACATATCTTCACAATAGGAGAGCGCTGACGCTGACACAGGATAAGTGTAATCTAGAAATTTTTGAAGGAGAGAAAGGAGGATGACAATCAAGGAGGCCATAAACGCGCCCTACAATTGTAGGGACGACTGACGATACGGGCCTTAGTCTAATCATATTAGCAAATTTCCTCGAAATAATTGTAAAGCCTGGTTTTCTTGATGCAAGTTTCCAAGGGGGTATTTAAAATATGGACGCGTAAAACGGTTACACCAATTTTTGTGGGAAAATTTATTATTCGACAACAAAGAATCAGAAAATGTGTTTTTTGGGATTCAATCAAAAGTGTTGGCAGGAACAGGAAAACTCTTTAGATAAGACTATTAGGTATCTATGAGACCCACAGAATGAGATTATACACTAATAGTAAAAAAGTTACGACCGAAAACCGAGGCAAAATGCAGCTTTCAGCACTTGTTGGTAATGTGACCATAATTTCACGCAGCTACTTGAAATTCTCCAAATCCGAGGGCTTCTTACTTCTAAATAACCACAACAAAATTGGAGTCGATTGATCAAGTAGTTTTTGAGAATTTCTAATTGTTTATCCCAAAATACCTATCTTCCGGCCATCATTATTATTTTATTGAGTATTATACTAGGTTCTTTCAGAGGGCATTTTATAGCAAAAGTTATATTGCCAACATGGATCACAAGCCATTCCTAAAGATAATTGTTATTTTTATGCGAAAAATGAAGGGTTACGTTTTTTCTCCTAAACAAATTCAAACATTTCGTATCTGCAAGTACTCTTTTTCTCTGTAACTAAAGGTGATGTACTCAACCGCTTTGTTTTAAAATGTGTTTAATGTATATTTTTCGAATATCGTAGCAAATCTGTTCAGTTGCTTACAAATACGAAATGTTTGAATTTTTTCAGGAGAAAAAAAGGAAACCTTCGTTTTTCGCATAAAAATAACAATTATCTTTCGGAATGGCTTGTAATTCATGTCGACAAGATAAACTCGTGTATTTTGCTATAAAATGCCATTTGAAGGAACCCTGTATGTTACTCAATAAAGTAGTACTGATGGCCGGAAGATAGGTGTTTTG